CAGACTATTTGTGGGGAAATTTGCTGTACTGTGCGTGAATATTTTAAAAAATCCACTACCTCTTAGGCCAACATTGGATTCTGGTTTCTGCCTTCAGGCTTGCAAAATGAAAAACATTATCCACTACAATTAATTGGGTAATAACTGGAATTTACATGGCCTCTTTCATTCTAGGATATCAAACAAGGCAAGAAGGAAAGGCCCACTTTCCCAACCAGTGGTCCATCCTTTTAGTGGGAAGCTGTGATGTAGGTCAATCAGAGCATAATGACCACCGAGATGGCCCTGAGCCTGATCTCCCCTGGTGGCAGAGGAAGTCCACCCAGGAGGGCCTTAAGAGAGGTCAGAAAGCAAAGCGAAGAGGCCGGCGCCACGGCTCAATAGGCTAATCCTCTCCTCCACCTGTAGCGCCGGCACCCTGGGTACTAGTCCCAGTCGGGGCACCGGATTCTGTCCCGGTTGACCCTCTTCTAGTCCAGCCCTCTGCTGTGGCCAGGGAGTGCAGAGGAGGATGGCCCAGGTCCTTGGGCCCTGCACCCCATGGGAGACCAGGAGAAGCACCTGGCTCCTGGCTTCAGATCAGCACGGTGCGCCAGCCGCAGTGGCCATTGTGGGGTGAACTAACGGAAAAAGGAAGACCTTTCTCTCTGTCTCTCTCTCTCTCTCTCTGTCCACTCTGCTTGTCAAAAAAAAAAAAAAAAAAAATTAAAAACAAAAAAAAGAAAGCGAAGCTAAAGTGATATCTTTCCCAGGTGACGATGTATATACAGAGTGTTGGGCTGAAGCCTTGTGTTTATTCAAATGCTCTATGTTCAGGCAGGTCTGGGAGACTGGGATGGGTCAGCACTTGTAACTGGTTCAGTGGTAGTAGTGCCTGGGCTTGCATGATGAGCAGGGTGAGGACAGGTTCAAGATGAGGCTAACCTCCATTGCATCCTTGCTCAGCAACTTATTGGCTACGTGACCTTGGAAGCTTACATGAACCTCTATTGTCTCATCTCTAAAATGGAGCTAAAATAAATCACAGGTAGTTTTAGTGGTTGCATAAGGAAGAGAGTTTGGCAAGTAGTAGCAACCATTAAATGCTAGCTGTTATTTATTTTAAATATTTATTTTCATCTACTTGAAAGGCAGAGCAAAAGAGGGAGGGAGGGAGGGAGGGAGAGAGAGAGAGAAAGAGAGAGAGAGAAGGAGAGAAATATCTTCCTTTTGCTAGTTCACTCCTAAAATGCTCACAACAGCCAGGGCTGAGCCAGGCCAAACCCAGGAGCCTGGAACTCCATCTGGATCCCCCACATGAGTTGCCGAGGCCCAAGTACTTGGACCATCACCTGCTGTCTCTGAGGATGCATTAGCAGGAAGCTGGCTGGGAGACAGAGTAGGCAGAACTTGAACCAGAACTCTGATGTGTGGGATGCTGGTGTCACAGCACAGGCAGCACAGGCAGCACAGGCTTAGTCTGCTGTGCTACAAGGTCTGCCTCACCATTATGATGATAGTGATGATGATGATGATGATGATGACGACGACGATGATGATCCTAGTCTTGCCTCTCAATTATTTGTAAGTTACATTTCAAGTGGACTGACTGAAAGGATAGGTCTTACTACTTTATATATGTAGGACAGAGCCGGCTACAGTCCTTTACATTGTATGAAAGCTGACCATGAAGTTACAGAAGCAGCAATGAATGAGTAGAGGTTGACATGGATTTAGAAAGCCTGGTTCCTGAGTCCAGCTCCACCATTTACAACTTAAACAAACAACATGGGTCTCTCAGCCTGAGGGGTGTGTGTGTGTGTGTGTGTGCACGTGTATGAAAAGTTGGGTGATAAATCTCACCTGCCTCCTAACATTTCTGTGACGATTGAATGGGATGATAGATGTGAGCACGTTTTGAAAACTATAAAGCACTTAGTTTAAATAAATTGGAGTATTCTTATAATTTTTATCATGCTTAAAGCCATTTATGATGACTTATTTCTATATCCATATTTTCCCTACAGAGTTTATTCTTATTTGGAACAATTGTTATTTATTAGTCATTTATGAATAGACAGAGAATTAGTTTTGCTGACAGCCTTTTGCTAACAATAAACCAAAATGAATTTGTGGTTTAATAGTACTTTAATACTTCTGCTTTTCTCTTTTTTTTGAAAGTTGATCCCTCACAATTTGTTGAAACAAAGAGGATGGTATTGCTTAATCATTGTTCTGCTAAAGTTCAACAACTTGTACTTGATGTTCTCACATTTCTTATAGAATATACGTTTTCCACTTGGATTTATGACACACACATACACATACACATACACATACAAATCTTGCTTTGATGTCAAAATGGTCATACTAGTATAGTTAGAAACACGACAGAAATGAAATTTATCTGAAACTTCAGGTCTTCATGAGCTGATCTCAAGGGATAGTTATTGAGAAATTTGACCAAGTGAAGAACTTTACCTTAGGAAAAGGACAAAAAAAAAAAAAAACTCAAATAAATAAACATATCATTTCTTTCCCCCGGCAAGGTTCTTTATGCTTAGCCATCAGAAAAATCAACTGAACTTTGACCACCGTGGCCCAGTCATGAGCAAAACACTGACTACCTACAGCCTAGATAGAAATGGCACAGCTTGGCCTCCAGGTAGCACGGATGCCTGAAAGGATCATCCACATTAATGAAACACTTTCCTTGGGATGCCATCTGTTTATTTCAGGTCGCCCCTAGAACAGCTCCCCTGATCTCAAGTCTGATCTGCCCAAAGCACAGGGAACTTTGATGACAGGAGAAATGCATAGTCACATGCTATTCAATGCCATGCAAACTTCCATTTCTTTAGCACATTTATTATCTTCTAGTCTTTAGGGAAGCAACCAATGCAGGTGAACTGCGTTACCTGCGAGTTACAGTTATCACATCTCAGTCTAGCCCTACTCCAGTACGCTCGGCTTAGGATGCAGGACCTGGCACTCTGCAAGCCTCCTTTCCCCTTTGCCAGCAGCTCCCCAGAGAGGCTCTGAAAACACCGGGAGTCTGCAAGGCAGGAGGAGGAGAAGGGACTAACTCCTTGCCATTTGCTCCCTGCCTCCCCTGCTGTGAGAGCCCCCAGCCACACTTCTTGCCTGAGAAGCAGCAGTTCTTTCCACAGCAGGGAGTGAATCCAGTGTTTCACTTGCCCAAGCCCTGCAGAAGCAGCCTTCTATGCCCCTTGAGTTGCAGGCACCCTCGGAGAGCAGTGCCTTTGCCTGGAAGCCCGAGTTTTAGTCCCATGGGGCATCTCCCCTAAGCTTCTAGATGTTAACAGTTCCATTCGCTTTCCTTCTTCCCCAGCTCCAAGGGTTAGAGAGCTGCTTCCTGCAGTTGTGGTCTCTGGCATCTTAATATCCTCTTTTTACACTTTTAGTTACTGTATTAGTCAGGGCTCTCCAGGGAAACAGAGCCAATAGGATAGACTCATAGGAAAATGTATGGAAAGAGATTTATTATGGGGGATTGGGTCATTGCAATTTTGCAGGCCAAGGAGTCCCATGATCTGCCCACTGAAAGCTGGAGGCCTAGAAAAGCCAGTGGTTATCAGCAGGTCCAAGACTCAGGAGCGCTGATGCCCCAGGGCAGGAGAAGGCAGGAGTCAGCTCCTGCGGGAAAGGTGAATGTTTTTGTTCTATTCTGGCCCTTGGTGGAGTACAGGATGTCTAGGCACACTGTGAGAGCCACACTCTGTACCCAGTCTACTCATTCCAAATCTCTTCTGGAATCATCTTCACAGACATACTCAGAAAAATGTTCTCCAGTGATCTGAGCATCTCTCAGCCCTTCAAGTCTACACGTTAAGTCAAATACCACAATGATCCAGTTAACAATTTTGTACCCAGTTATGACTAACCTGGATGGCTTCTGCCTCCTAACTAGACCCTGACTGATATACCAGCTGCAAATATGGATTTACTTGTTAACACACCCACAATATTGTCTTTCCTATGAGTAAGCTCATGGTGCACATCCATTGCACTTGTCCTCCCAGAAACTAATCTTTTTATGTTGGCAAATTTCCCCACCCCTACTCTCTGTTCATGGAGTTTAGGCAGGACTGACTCTGTTCTTTACTGCAAGGAGTAGGTTCAGGATCATATGCAACTACAGCCTGTCCCAGCCTTAGTGGGTAGACATGTGCCCCAGATGCACTTGAAATCAGTGTCATCTTCCTAAATTCCCCAAGTGCCTGGGCAAATAAATCCCCAGATTATTTACAAAAGCTAGGTTGAGTTGTGTGCTTGTCTGTGATAAGCTCTTAAACAGAGGAGTAAACCTCCAGCAGTGGTCTTTCAGCAGACATGCAATGGACATTTGTGTGGGCAGTGACAATTCTCCGTGGCCTTCAAACCATACCTACAGTGGAGTTGGCAGTGGCAGGTAGGTGTGTGTCTCATGTGGTCTTCCTCCAGCCTCCAGCCTGGCTGGATTCTTACTGTCCATTTCCCCACAGAACCGACTCCACATGGCCACTGGCTGATGAAAAGGCAGAAGAACCTTGGCCAGTGGCTTGGTGCTTTGACATCCAGAATGTGTGAGACCAATGTCACTTTCCAGATGCCCATTCTAATTGACATTTAGCTTAATTACCTTACATGGTGATGGGGCCAGAACTGAAATACTTCCTCATATTACCTTCCAAATGTGGTTATCTGCGACTGATAGCTAAGTGAAGATAGGAATAGGAAGAGGGTTGACATTTATTGAATAGCATTATAGACAGAAATTGGACTAAGCACCTTTGTTTCACAACCAACATAGGAAATCTGTCTCACCATCCACTTTCGAAAGATGATAGAGGTGAGGCTTAGAAAGGTTACTCAACTGTTCAAGGTTAGAAGCTAATAGATTCAAATCCAGTTCCCTCTGCAATTAAGCTCACTCCCTTTCTCCACATCAGGAAGGATCAGGGAAGACAGCAGGATAGTTCAAAGAGAAACGACCATCACGGAAAACGTCTGTGTCCTACCTGTCTCCTTGTTTTTCACACCTCAAGCTCCGAGGCAGAAATATGGCTGGAAAACTGTTCTGAAGCATCTTTGCAGGCCACAATCGGATCCTGTGAATTCAGGGAAACAAATCCCAAAGCCGTAGTGCCTGCAAAGTTGGAAAAGTCTTGAGTAGTTTCTTGTCCAGCCACAAAAAAATTGAAGTTTATATTGGTAGAGTGATTTACTGTCACCCATTAGCATATTTTATACTTCACTGAATTTAGATAGGCAAATTATATAAACATTTTATATATATAAGCAAAACATGTCAGATGTCAGGACTCAAAATATGTATTTAATTAAAGAAATACATCTCTTAAAAGCAAAGCCCTAAATACATATTAAACGATAGCCTAATCTGAAGGTAAATGAGATATGCCACCTTCCAGATATTAAGTGACCCACATAGACAGTAATACCTCCATTAATGAGGCAAATGCATTCTAATGGCAGACGTTAGTGTCAGAAACTTCATTACTCGCTGAGGCAATAACACAGAAGTCATAAGGACCTATCCGAGGAGGACAGAGAAGAAGTGGTACAGAGTGAAAGTATTAAATATTAACCAAAGTAACATCAAGTAGGCTGCTAGAGTATAAGTATCTGGAAGTTCTGAGAGAGATGGTTGGGGGAGGGACAAAGAAGAATCACAGGGCTAACCTGGGATCCTCCATGGAAGTGGGGAAGAACTTTGAAGAGGGCGCCTTTGGGGTAGCCTAGACTACAGCAGAATGGACTCAGCCCGAGTCAGTCACCCCAGCAGTCCCAGGCTTCAAGCCGGGAGCTGGCCTAGACCCATCTGCGAAAGAACACACACTAGAGAAGAGACAGGACACCTGTGATCTCCTCCCAAGAGGCACCTAAAGGCAACAGGGACAAGACCAAGGTCCAGGGAGACACATAGGTGATTGCACTGAGTTCTCTATCTCCCCATTCATTTGCAAACCCCTGAGTAAGAGGGGGTACCTTGCATGACTCCATTGGAAGTAAACGACCATGTAAGGTTACCTGATTGCAGCTCCACCTTGACTAAAACTCACTTGTCAATGCACCAGACAATCAGGACAGGAAAATGACCCTGAGGGGATGGCTCCTCTTTTTCCTGATGAAGGCAAGGAGGCTGGGAGGCAGGTTAAGGGACTGGCCAGCTAAAGAGACAGAGGAGACAGCCAAGGATTGTGAGACTCAGAAATGAGAGGCTGGGGAACCCCTGACTTTGGCTGATTTCCTCTTTCTGCCATAAACCCTGCAGGACAAACATGCTTCTATTCACCGAGGTATTTTTGTCCCGTGCAGCTGTGCGGCTTAGCAGGAGCCTTGCCGATGAGCCATGTGACTCACGCCAACATGCTGCATGTGATTTATGAAGACGCAAAGCAGAAAACAGCCCGCTTCGTGATGAAGCCGCTTTGTTTTTAGAGGATTGGCTCATCAAGGATCGTGGTATCATTTGGTCCTTGCTTGCTTGTTCTGAGCCCGCCTCTGCCAGCGACTCTCCTGCTCCCCCCCTCCCTTCCCTGTTTGCACGACTCCCTGCTCAGATGAGGGTGCCTCCAGTTTGAAAAGAGAACGGACAGCCACAGCCAGAGGATCTGTAGCCCTCCACTGCCACAGGAGGTGTACTGACTCTCAACCCTGCCAACCACCCTGGCAGAAACGCCACTGGGGCCTGGAGCCCAAGGCGTGAACGAAGGGTGAAACGGGACCAAGTTTTACTGGGTCCAGGCTAGAGGATTCTTCGGGATTGTCTCCCTGCCTCACTGATTAGGAGAACAGCCTCGGTGATGCTTCTGGAACATGCACAGGGCAGAACGACCCTCCTTCCCTTCCTCTCTACCTCCCACTCCCCAGAAGGTGTCAAAAGGAAGGGGCTCAGCTCTCCATCTCTAAGAGCTTTAACACCTCCCTGTGAAACTTCTCCAGCTGGCCTGGACTCCACCTGTCTTTTCCTGCTCTCTCTCTCTCCCTGCTCCAGCAGCATGGTCCAGCAAGGCCAAGGGCCACATTTATTGCTTGAAAAATGGGAAAGTCATCCCAGTGGATAGCTAGCTCCGATTTGTGCCTGTGACACATAATGGCTGCTTTGTGACAAAGTAGCTGTGACCAAGAAAGCAACTTTGGCAATATCCTGTTTATCTGCTCCCAGGAATGTTCTGTTACCCACTGATAGCCCTTCCTCTCCCCCTCCCCCAATACAACGGAGCAGAAGAAAAGTCCCTCAGAATTTGTAAATAGCAACGCGGTCATAGGGCCTGCACTTTGAATACTTCCATCTCAGATTAAACTGTGGGAGGCTCAGGAGGGGACTGTATTCTTGCCGTCCAACTCGTTCATAAGATTTATAGTGGATCTTACTCCTACCAAAGAGGAGCACAAAGCAGAATTGGGAGATTTGCAAAAGAAACTCGAAATAACAAATTTTAAATTTTCACAGTGTATACCATGAGCCAACAAGATTCTATTTTATGCTAGAAAATAAACAAAATGAAATAAAAGTTTTGAGACTTTTTTTTTTCCCTAGCCAAAGCCTTACATTCAGTATCCTATCCTTTGTTTAATTTTGTTGGAGCCACTTTGGGTGCAGCGTTTCCAGGGCAATTTTTGGGTTTTTTGTTTGTTTGATTTCTGTGTGGCCCAGCCCCGCCCCCACCAGCACACACACAAAGGACCCGGACAATTGGGTAGAGGTAGTAGCTGTTCTCTCTCCCCCTGAAGCTTTGAAGGTGCTTCCAGATGCATCAAAGTGCTTCACTGCTCTGTGCATCTCCCTCTAACATCAAAGCCTCCCTCCAGGAACGTGTAGTGCAGTATACCATGTCATTCTAAAAGAGCTATTACTCTCTACTTATTGTGCAAATTTTTATGGAGATGCCCTGGTATCTTACTGGCCAAACCACTTGACTTCATAGTACTTTCTTCTAGCTATTATTCAGAACTGTCCAGGAAAATTATCAGAGAGCCTGAAACTAGTCCTGCTGACTTTTTTACCCTTTCAGTGTCTCCAATGCTACCCCCGTTTTGCTAGGTTCTACCAGCAAAGCAGCTGGAGAACCTTTTTCTTAGGAGCTGGGAAGGAGCTAATTAGTTTTAAGTTGCAATTAAAGAAAAAAGTTTCACCTTTATAAAATTATAGGCAGAAGATTCTGAAATGAATAGATCTGAGATATAAGAGCTAATAGGTACGCTGGGTTGGACTATCTAATAGAATTTTTTTTTTTTATTTGACAGGGTTATAGACAGTGAGAGAGAGAGACAGAGAGAAAGGTCTTCCTTTCTTTGGTTCACTCCCCAAATGGCAGCCACGGCTGGTGCTGTGTTGATCTGAAGCCAGGAGTCAGGTGCTTCTCCTGGTCTCCCATGTGGGTGCAGGGCCCAAACACTTGGGCCATCCTCCACTGCCTTCCTGGGCCACAGCAGAGAGCTGGACTGGAAGAGGAGCAACCGGGACTAGAACTGGCGCCCATATGGGATGCCGGCGCCGCAGGTGGAGGATTAACCAAGTGAGCCACAGCACCGGCCCTATCTAATAGAATTTTCTGCAATGATGGAAATGTTCTGTAATTCTGTGTTGTCTAATATGGTGGCTACTGAGCAACTGAAATATAGCTTGGGGTGAGCACTTGGTGCAGCGGTTAAGACACCTGGTGGGACACCCGCATTCCATATCAGAGTGCCCGGGGTTCAGGTGCTGCTTCTGCTTCTGATTTCAGCAGCCTGAGAATTCACACCCTGGGAGGCAGTAGATGATGGTTCAAGTAACTGGTTCTCTGCCATCCATGTGGGAGACCCGGATTGAGTTCTGGGCTCCTGGCCCAGTCCTGACTGTTACAGGACGTTTGGGAAGTGAACCGTTGGAGGGCAGGTCTCTCTCTGTATTCTGCCGCTGCCTGTCTGCCTTTCAAATAAAAATAAACAAATTGATAAAAATTTTAAAAAAATATGGTTAGTATGACTGAAGAATTAAGCTAAAATTTTCATTTAATGTTTGTTTACTTAAATTGTCACTGTGGCTAGTGGCAACTGTATTGAGTCCCACAGCTCTAGAAATTAACTGTGTGGGGGGCCAGGGTGGGGGAGGGGTCAGTGGTGTGCTTAGAAAAATCTAAGACCTAGGTTGGAGGGAAGAGAAGGAAAAGGAAGAAAAATCCGTACCTATTTGAACCTTTCTGGAAGAATCCTTCTGAGCTGTCACCACAGTCTCTGCGGCAGGCCCGCAGTCAGTCCTGGAGAGAAGAACCTCATCATTTATTTTCATTAATCATTAGGGAGCAAAACTGCCATGCCCACGTCCACGCCGGGCACTCTCCTGCATTCGTGCCTACTGATTGATAGCATTTCCAGTCATCTCGCGCCAGGCAACGACGAGGGGGAGAGGTTATGAAATTGCCTCCTCACTTAGCAGCCCAAGCCAATAATGTGTCATTGTGTGGGGCTGTCACTTTTACACATCCAGGGTGCCCAGTAACAGGTAAGACACCCGCCCTTCTAAAGCAACAGAAATCAGCAGTTGTGCAAGTGGAGCGGGCTCACGCTGAGGTCGCAGAACCCTCAGGCCCCGTCCACTTGTCTGATTGGAGGTCTTCAAAATGTTCCCTGAGCTGGCCAAAACCCGGGATACTTTGTGGGGACTCCAAACTCGGGTTGCCGTGGGCGGCCTCCTGGGACAGGGGCCCCCAAGTCCCAGTCACCCAGCCCCTTCCTCTGTTTTCATTTTCCTGTTAGGTTCTAATAAGGAAGCCTGGAAGAAGAAATCTTGGAAAGTATAAGGAACCAGACATTAGTTAAGTCTTTCTCCATGCAGGGGGTGGGGGGAAGTTTGTTAATTAACCCACATTCCACTTCTGCAAAGTTCTCTCTCTCTCTCTCTCTCTCTCTCTCTCTCTCTGCCTCCTGATCTAGCCAGCCGGGGCGCATTTCTTAGCAAGATACTGAAGAGTGTGGCGCCAAGAGCCGGTGCCTTTTGCATCCTGAAGTCTTTTGTTTTCCCCTGCGGCCGCCGGCTCCACAGAGACGGTCCAGTCAGATAAAACGAGGCCGCAGCGTGCCGTTCAAGATGTCAGCTAGCCGCACTTCTGGAAACCCAATGTCCCGCAGGTACCGGGTAGCCCCAGAGGTCAGGCGGCGGCGCCCAGACCGGGTTCTCGGACTAGGAACGGGGGCGGGGAGCCTGGGAGCGCAGCCGCGCGTCCTCACCCCGGCCCGCTCCTCCCCTTCCCGGGCTGCCACTACTTTCTATCTCCATTGTTCCCCTCGGCGCGGCAGCCAGGCCGAGCACGCGCTCCGCAGCCAGCAACTTCCTCTGAAGCGGCGGCGCCTAATTACAAGCAGCTGCTGGGCTGCCGGCTGGCCAGCCCCGCGCGCGCGAGCGAGCGAGCGAGCGAGCACGCAGCCCGCGCCGCCGCCTGCCAGGGAGGCTGCGGCCTGCGCGTGGCGGCCGTCCCTGTGCCCAGGACGTGCCCACCCGCCCTGTCAGAGTGGGGAGCGGCCCTTCTGTCTGTCTGTCTGGCTGTGGCTCCCGGGGGCCATGTCCGAGTTGTTTCCATTGTTAAAGGGGAAGCCGCCTGCCCTCACCTGCAGCTTCCCTCCCCTGGCGGGCCTGTTGTCTGCGTTGTGCCACCACAAGGGACTGATGTCTGGCAGGCCGGAGCGGCTTCTGGTGAGTGGAGGCACTTCGGGAGCTGTACACAGCGCTCAGCCGGCATGGGGCTGAAAGAGGATCAGTGTTGCCTAAGAGCTAAGCACGCACCAGGGGAAGACCCCAACAAACCCAGCTTGACAGGAGCGCTGGGCAAGAGCGCTGAGGACTTGCCCTGGTCGCTCCTCAGAGCTCTGAGTTCATTTTGCATCAGCGGTGATCTTTCAGGCTTGGCTACAAAGATGACTGGGATCCAAAATTAGGCTTTGAATGTGTAACACAAGGCTCCCGGCCACACCCACCACCGCCTCTCTCTGCCCCGTGCTGCGGCTTCAGAACCTGGCCCCGGGCCAGATCTGGCCCTTCTGGCTTCCTAGGGAGTGGCTGGTTGCAGGCGGGGCTCTAGCGTGGGTGAGGGCATGTGGCGCAATACAGGAGGCACAGGGGAGACGGACATGCTTGGGAATGACACAGCGCCCTCAGAGCGTCCACCCCAGCAGTCCACAGCTGGGAGGACCATTGCAAGATCCAGGGCACCTGGGGCTGCCTGCATGGCGGCTGCCCGCCTGTGCCTTCCAGCCTAGGGCTCATGGCCGTTCAACAGCGGGAGAGCTGTTCACTCTCCAAACGCCTGCAACTGCCAGGGCAGAGCCAGACTGAAGCCAGGAACCAGGAACTCCAACAGGGTCGGCCACATGGGTGGCAGGGACCCCACTGCTAGAGCCATCATCTGCTGGCTCGCAGCCCCAGGTGCATTAGCAGGGAGCTGGATCGGAAGCAGAGGAGATGGAACGGATGGATGCAGGAGTCCCAAGGGACAACTTAGCCGGCTTGCCCACAACACCAGCCCCCAAGCTGCTCGTTTTACAGGGCTGTTTCCAAGCATGCAGGCCCTGGCATGAGAGGCTCGTGTGGGCCAGACAGGAGCCTCTTCCAGGGGGCCTATTCTTTCTGTCTGGGCTTCAGCAGTCACTCCGCGGCCTGCAGCTGCCACCAGCTGTTTGTTGAATTGTGTTCCCTTCGCAGCCTTCTTTGTTTCAAATCTCAGTAAAATCGCGCCTCCTGCATGGTCCTGGGCAGAGGGGCACGGGCTAGGAAGGAATAGTAAGAGTGACCGGGGTGAGCCAAGGTCGGGCCCAGAATGCGAGTTGTCGCTGAGTGCTTGGGAACCGTGTAATACATTCTCCATCAGCCACCAAACATCTCTGCAGCTTAACTCCCTCCAGGAAAAAATACCCGTCTAGAGAGTTTTTTTGGTGTTGGATCCATGGCCCGCCTTCTGACGCTTAACAAGCACAGAGGGCACCATCGCAGCACGGAATGGCAGCACGAGGCGGCGATTTCAGCCCGTGCTGCTGCGAACCGCGCCATCGGCTCCTGCCCTCGGCAGCCTGCAGGGCCCAGGGACTCCGTGATGTGGTTTTTGGCAGGTTTGTCTGCGAGCCTGCGATGAGGTACAAGCTGAACGGAGGTCTCACCTGAGAACATCAGGGCCGAGACACTGTTCTCTGAAGCAGGACCGTGGGAAGGTAGGTGCACATGGTTGAGTTGGCTCAGCAAGCGGAGAAAAAGAGAAACGCGAGAATGGGAGGTGGGGGACGATAAAAAGTGTTCAGCTTTATAACAAATGAAGTTGAAAAGGGTAAGCTCTGGATTTTGAGAGAGGAGGTTTAGGTTTAGATGGTTTCCCTCGCTCTCTCGCTAATTATCGGCATGGCGCTGGCAATTCACCGACGTCTCCTCACTTAGGTTTTCTCATCTGTGAAATAGGGTGAAGACGGCAACTGTTTTGCATTCTGCCATGAGTGCAAATGTGTGTGTGTGTGTGTGTGTGTGTGTGAGAGACTGTGTGTGTTTGGTGGGAGCAAGAGGGGGAAAATGTTAGACATGTTAGAAACGTATTTTATAGAAGAAAGGTAAACTATTTGTAATAATAGCATCCACCTGTGCACCTTCTAACATGTGTATTTTCTTATATATAAATGACTCACTAGGTCCACAAAATTGGAATGGGTTTTTGATGGAAAAGAAATGTCATTCCTTTTTCAGGTATAAGATCATCTTTTTAAATTTATTTATTAACTTACTTTAATAGGCTGTGACACTATTTTTTAAGACTTATTTATATATTTGAAAGGCCAACAGAGAGAGGGAGAAGAGAGATCTGCCATGCACTGGTTCACTCTCCAAGTGGTAGTAACAGCCAGAGCTGGACCAGGCTGAAGCCAGGAGCCTGGAATTCCATCTGGGTCTCCCACATGGCTGGCAGGGGCCCAAGTACTTGGGCTATCTTTTGCTGCTTTCCCAGGTGCATTAGCAGGGAGCTAGATTGGAAATGGAGTAGCCAGGATTTGAGCCAGCACTCTGATATGGGATACCAACATTGCAAGCAGAGCTCAACCCACTGCACCACAGCACCAGCCTCATCTTTTTAGTTTTAAAAACCGTCTGTTCTGTAATTTTTAAGCTATTAGGTGAGGTTGTATTATACCCCATAAAGGAAGCATGGAGGCTTTCAGGCCCTTCTGGCACCTGTGAGTGCTTTACAAAGATGTCCACCACACTCGAGGGCAAGGTATCATGTGTCACTCCTCCCACCAACACATGGAGAAACTGAAGCCTGAAGAGGTGAGGGGAGGTCACCAGGGCAGCAGGTGATGGGTTGGCTTCTGGTCCCTGCCTCCAAACCCTGCTTCAATTTGTCTGCCTTATAAACAGCCATCAATAACTTCATGTCCAGGCCACACACTGTCAACCAGGACCCACAGTGTGCAAAGCATCTGTGTGCAAATGAGACGACCCCACCCCCTTCCTTGGGGGACACAGGATACTGAACAGGAATAGAGGAGAAAGAAAAAACTGCCACCACTGGAGTTGTACACTCCATCCAAGGCCATTCTCACAGTGAAATTCCAGGAAAAGTAAGCAATGAGTGGCAAATTCAATATCATCGGTCAATCCACTACTAACGGGTCAAGATCACTTCAACCTTATGACAGAACCTCCCAAACATCTACTGTATCGAAAAATCTATTTTTAACATGAAGAGATTTTTCTTTTCCCATGCAGAGAAATAGACTGATGATAAAATAATTAAAATTTCATGTTGGTGTTCACATGTTGTGATAATGCATATCATCATGTGCAAGTCAACAGATACTTGGGTTGATGGAACATTTCTGTTTAAAACTTAAGGTTGTGACCCATTCCCTTTTGCACATTGTCTGTGTGGCTGTAGCCTGGTTCTGCAGCAGCTCTGCAGCCACAGGCTCTGAGCTTTGGTCTCCTCCTTTTCCTCAGAAATGGGAGCCAAGGGCCTATCTCAGGGTTTCCACAAGGACTAATTGACTTCATGTTTGTAACAGTATTGAAAACAACCCTGGCACCAAGTGTATAGGATTTCCTTCTTCACCACCTTGAAAATATTTTTTAAAAGATTTTATTTATTTATTTGAGAGAGAGAGAGTTACAGACAGAGAGGGAGAGACAGAGAGAAAGGTCTTCCATCTGCTAATTCACTCCCCAAATGGCCGGAGCTGGTCCGATCCTAAGCCAGGAGCCAGGAGCTTCTTCCAGGTCTCCCATATGGGTACAGGGGCCCAAGGACTTGGGCCACCTTCTACAGTTGTCCCAGGCCACAGCAGAGAGCTGGATTGGACAAGGAGCATCCAGGACTCAAAGTGACACCCATATGGGATGCTTACCACAGGCAGAGGCTTAGCCTATTACAACACAGCGCCAGCTCCAGGATATATTCTTTATATAGCACTTTAATTGTTGGAAGTACTTTCATACACCTTGCACATGATTCTATAAGGAAGCTAAGGAAGGTGTAATTATGCTTTCCATCTATACATGTATGAGAAAATTCTTTCTCTGAGTGTTTCAGTAACTTGCTCAGAGTCACACAGAAAAATTGGTACAGAACTGGAAGCCTGGACCCAGTCTCCCCATCCTGGGATCTTTCCATTTACCTCCCTCTCTGGTTATCCTTGTCTCCACCTCAAGAAAGCACCTGGTTTGCAGCCCATCACAAACCAATCCCAGCTCCCAGGAGGCAGCTCTTTGGTGCCTCTTCCCAACCCTCCCTGCACTGTAAGCCCAGCATCAGTCCCTTCCCATTCTTCAGTGACTTCCTTCTTCATCTATTCAGGTCTGCATGTTTGGAGTCTAGTCTATGTAGCATATGAAATCAGGAGAATTTTATTTTACAAGAAAGAGGTTGAGTTAGATTCCACCATTCATGTTGCTAAATATCTGCAGTGTGATAAAATCATCCCAAATGTCACCAGTCCCTGGGGGACTTATTAATAATTAAGCAATTTGAGTTCACTTAGGAATGCAGATTCCATTTAACAACAGAATGTACACTAAATATGTCCATTATATTGCAGCTTGCAGCAGAATATGTTAGAGCTCTCAGCTGGGGTTCTCCAGGACAGATGAGAAAGTTAATGTAGGTATCAGTCTTTCCTAAAGGCAGCACAGAAGCCAAAAGTAGCATCTTGGATTGGTTTATAGATTTTGTGTTTATTAGGAATGTTTATTAGAATGACTAATAATGGAAGAAGCAATGAGGGGAGGGAAGGAAAGGGGTGGGGTGGGGAGAGCCAGGAGAAGCCCCAAGGAAATGGGAAGAGAAGACCCAGTGTCTGTGGAGGAGTGAAGCATTTGTCCCACAATGATTCCTAAGGAACAGATCAGGAAAACCGTCATTCTGTTATGTCCCACTGTGTGGGAAGGCCATGTACATGCTTACTTTGCTCACATACACTTTCTCTCTAAAACATAGTTCTGTTTTGTTTTTAAAAGATATTTAACTCATGGGGACTGGCTTTGTGGTATAGCTGGTAAAGCCTCTGCATAGCCAGCATCCCACATGGGCGCCAGCTTGAGTCCTGGCTGCTGCACTTCTGAGCCAGCTCCCTGCTAATGCGCCTGGGAAAGCAGTGGAGGATGGCCCAAGTGCTTGGGCCCTGCACCATGTGGCAGACTCATAGGAAGCTCCTGGTTCCTGACTTCAGCCTGGCCCAGCCCCAGGCCATTGTG